CCTTCCAGCATCAGTAGTACATATATCATCAAAATACTTCCAAAGAGATCTTTGGCAATTGGCTGCCAGTTTATAAGTGATCACTCTCTCTGGTCATAGCTTAAAGGACAGGAATCACACAGGGGCCAATAAGATCTGAGCATGTACTTGTGCAAAGTATTTATGTGCACCTGGTCAGACAAGTCAGTACTACTCCAGAATCAGACTCTTTTAATGTCAGCTGCCAAAATTGTAATCTCACAGCCTGCATTAATAACATTAATAAGGATAAAATTGTGCAAATATTATATAGCCCCCCCCTTTGTCATGATACCCACTAATATTTCTGACCCGTGGTATCATGACTGTGGATTGCAAGTACTGGAAGAAATACACAGATGGCTCATTCAGCCCCATCACAGAGTAGGACTTATTGTCCCAGGAATGATGTTTCTAGTTACTCTGCTTGCCACCCCTGTGGTTGCATCCATGGCCTTAGCACAAAATGTACAGAATGTGCAGTTTGTCAATCATCTAGCAAAAAATATATCTTATACCCTTCAGATCCAAGAATATAGTGATGTTAAATTAGAAGTACAGGTTAATGCCTTAGAAGGTACAGTGTTAGAAACTGGTAATCAAGTTAAAGCCCTACAGTAGCACCAAGGATTGCAGGGTCATGTTAAATAGCCTCGTGTTTGCATCACTGCTTTTCCTTACAATGAATCACAGTGGGACTGGAAAAAGGTTACTGCACATTTAATGGGTATCTTTCGTCATAACAATCCCAGCCTAGTACTTCAAAAGCTTCATCAACAGATCTTGTCCATTTAGCATGTTCACGTTAGTTTCCTCACCTCTGAGGACATGGCAAAATTGGTTCTTGATTTGTTAAACGGATTCAGACCTTTTAACCTGGCCAAACATAGTGTTGCTATGATCCTGGGAATTCTGATTTTCATTTTGCTGCTAATGGTTTGTTTACTGGTTCTCTGCAGACTCTTCTGATAACAACTCACTGAACCTGTCTTAAGACAACATCTTCACAAGCTACAGCTACAAAACAGAAAAGCTACAAAACAGAAAAGCTACAAAACAGTTACATCAGCTAAGAAAAGGGGGAGATGCTGGAGTGCTGCACTGTAGACATGCCTTCCTCCCCATCCATTCCCCACAAAACTATCAAAGCATGATGTTCTGCAGATATTAGCTGTTCTCCCCATTCTGGTGACATACCAGCCCCATCTCCTTCCCCTGCACCTCTCTTATCACTACCACTATAAATAAACGTGCTACAGTTGCCTGGTGGTCCTTTTCTCCCATCAGGAGAAAGGTTCCTCCTGGCCTCAGCTTTTTGAATAATTCATAATTTTCACTGTTACAAAAACAAAACACATTTATATTACATATCTGAAAATGAGCTGATCCATTACATTAAAATAGTTTTCACAAATAATTATACTGGTAATATAGTTCTTTAAACTGTCAAAGTAGATTTTGGAGATAAGAATAAAAGTAATAGGGCCAGGGATTTAGCTCAAAAGCACAAGGTCCTAAATTCAATCCCTGGTACCAAACAAAAAAAATGATAAAAATGTTCCATCTTGCTCCTTGACTGCCTACATAAGAATAAATAATGGGATATCTTGAAAATCTGAATGTTTTAGCTATTCCAAATTTAAAAGAAACTTACTTTGTTAAACATCATGGAATTCCAGCTCACTAATATTCAAACTCTGAAAAATGTTGATATTATGGTGATCATAATAAAATTGAATAAATTTTTTCCTTAGCAGTACCACAAGATGTCACTCTAAGCCTAGCATCTAAATGTGTAGCATTTAGCATATGGCTTAAACATTTTTCTTGTTTTTTACATTAATAAACATTGACTGTTAACTTTCAAAGTCCCTTTTCCACTGCCAGGTACTGATAAATGGGAAATCACAACAAATAATGCAGGGACTCTTGTAAGGATGAAGAAAGTTAATCAAATAGTTTATCATTTTTAATGTTTATCTGATACTCTTCTGTTTACCAAAATATATGTATATCTTACAACTGGATTTTATATTCTTTTACAATTTATAATATTTCCAAAATGAATATATATTATTTTTATAATCAAATAAAGTTATAAGAATTTAAAAGATATAATATTTTTGCTATAATATAACCTACCATGTATGACAGAACTCTTTTATAAAATGCTTTTACAGACTTATTATACTGACCACAGTTATATAGACATAATTCTTTTGTGGTACCAGGGATTGAACTCAGGACCTCACACTTTGCAAGGCAGGTGCGGTGCTGCTGAGCTAAATCCCTGGCCCTAGACATGTAATTTTTCAAGTATATGATGAAGGACTACAAAAGAGGACAGCATTTCTTTTTAGAGTGATTCTTTTCATCTGTAGAAAGAGCTTCTGGTTCTCAGGTCATAAATAATAATACAGCATGGTACCAGGGATTGAACTCAGGACCTCACACTTTGCAAGGCAGGTGCGGTGCTGCTGAGCTAAATCCCTGGCCCTAGACATGTAATTTTTCAAGTATATGATGAAGGACTACAAAAGAGGACAGCATTTCTTTTTAGAGTGATTCTTTTCATCTGTAGAAAGAGCTTCTGGTTCTCAGGTCATAAATAATAATACAGCACATAAATAATACAGCACATTCTGCACTAACAGTATTTCACTTTACTATCAGTTTGTATTGGCTTTCTGAATTATGATTGCCTTATATTTAAGTAGCTAGTTGAGATTCTTGCAAGGTGTTATTTCGGTGTACTGGTTATTTGAAGATCAGAAAAAACAGGTGAAGCCATTATCTTCCATTACTTTAAAAAGAGAGGAAGGAATAGGGGATAGTTGGTTCAAACAAAAAACAAACTACAGACACTAACAATGCTCAAATTTATCAATACGTCCCTACCTATATGTTTGCTTCTTTATTTATTTATGTATTTATTTATTTATTGGTACCAGGGATCAAACTTGGGTCCTTGCGCTTGCAAGGCAGGCAGCAGAACCACTGGGCTAAATCCCCAGCCTACCTACCTATATGTTTACAAAGGTATAAATCTTATTCAAAATTTACATGTCTACATGACTTTTCACTGCAGCCTTAAAGAAAATATACAATGAGAGCACTCAAACATTTATAATAATAAATTAGAAATCAGGATTTGCTACCCACATAGAATTCAACAGAAAATTATGTTTTGATGTATAATGCTCCATTCTTTGCACTCTGATTTATCCCCAAATGACTATTTAAAAAAAAAAACAGCTGAAATAAATCTATCCTTTCAAATCTCAGCATTGGGACTACTTACGTAACCACTTTTTACAGATTATTGTCTTTCATTTTACTGGAGAAACTCAAATCACACCATAGGCCTCAAGCCAAGATATTCATCATTCATTAAAATAATGGCAAAATGCAATTCTTTGTCAATTCATTTGTGTTTTTATCCCACAAGTAATGGTGTTATCAAATGCCTACATTGTCAAAACATAGTAGAATTATCTAAATCATATAGTAATACTCTTCCTAAATCACGTCCTCAAAAGCTCATGGTCTCAAAGAAAGCCAGTCTTAACTAAATGCATTATACAAGTGTATTTAGATACATTGCCATTTAATTAATGGCCATTAGTAATTATCACTTAGAAGACACTTAATTTTTGAAATCTGTGGTTTGAAAATGTGTTCTCAAATACTACTCTCTACAATGTTTAAATTCTGTAACACTCCATTCAGAGTTCTTTTCACTGAATACTAGCTATGATGATTACAGTTATTTACATCAATAAGTCTTACCAACCACAACAGAATAAATATTTCAAGGAAATTAACCCACAAGTAAAATAATCCTATACGGCTTACTTCTATTCATAGTTAATAAACTATTTTAATTTTTCAAAATTTTGTTTTTTAATTTATATTCAAATCATAAAAGTTGAGGTTTGTATCAATAACTACATTTATAATAAAAACAGGTGAAACATTTCCAAATGAAGCTCCATAAAATCCTATCTTTATATTCTATATCAAAAACCATCAGCCTGAAAAAGCAATAAAAATATCTAGTAGACTCAATATTTATTTAAAAAGTACATACAATGTTTTTGTCTACCATGTTCAAAGTCCCAGGTTTGATTCTCAGCAACACAAAATTAATTAATTAATTCTTAGTTAATTAAAAAACATTCTGTTCAGTGAAGTTTTGTTTTGTTTTTATTTTTGGATTGAACTCAGGTCCTTGTGCTTTCAAGGCAGGCACCAGAACCACTGAGCTAAATCCCTAGCCCTTATTCAGTGAAGTTTTGTTATTGTTCAATTAGTCAGTAGTGCTTGTTGGAAGAAGAATTTACTGATATCTTTGCTAGCTTTTTTGTCTCAAAATATTTTAAGGAATTGAAGCTATCTGCATAAATGCAAAAGATATAAAGATAAAGAAATATATAAATAAATGTATATTTTATTCATAATCTTTAATAGAATATAAAGGTAAATATTATTTGGTTAGATTTATGACATATTAATAAGAATCCCAAAATAATGAATTTTCATCAATTCATTTTCAATCATGGATCATAAACTTTTCTAAGAAAGATTAAGAGTATTGGCTTCTATTTTTGTATCAAAAGCAAAAGTTTGATTCTTACTAAAATGTAACCTTTTTTGTGATAGAAAAGTCCTTCTAAAGAAAAATGACTTCTGTAGTGAATCAGTCCTTTAAAACAAACTACTCAGAATTTTTAACTGTTTAAGTTTTTCTTTCTATACAAAGTATTCTTTAAATTTTAACGTTTTTCAATAATCTAGCCCTCATCTCTTTTACAACATCTCTTTAAATATTAAATAAGAAAAAAGAAAAAATCTTCCCTTCTAGTATCAAAGAAAATTATCCCAGCTTGAAATTTTGTTAATGTCATTTTCTGATCATATCATCCAAACTATGAAGCCCAATTCTGATTATTAATAAGAAAGATAATTTCTAAAATACATACCTAACAAAGCCTGGAATAAGCTGCTGTTAAAGATATTCATCACCTTTTTAACAGCATTTTTCAACAATTGCTCTTCCGGTTTTCTTAATTTTTTGCAGTATTCTTCTAGTAATGATAAAGCATGGTCAGTATCTGAAAAACATAATTTTAAAAGTCTGTCATATTGGTATCAGAAAAGTAGTAAGCTAACATTAATTTATTCTCTAGCTATATTCATAAAGACACAAAATAATAAAATAATCATAAATTCCATAAAGTACCATATAAAATTGATAACAGTATCACAATCAGTAACTAATTTTATTTCCTGTAGTTCTGACTTCCAAAAGAATCTATAAATGTGAAGCAAAACAAAGAATACAGTACCAACCAAATGTTCACCTAGTAGGCATGATTCCCTTGTTTAAAAAAAAAAAAAATTGGTGACTTCCTGCAAAATAATGTCCAGATTCCTGAATATGATCTTTGACTTCTCCCTCACATGATCAAATTTCAAGCTACATTTTTCAGCCTTATTTTTCACTCTATCCCAATTATAGATAGTACCCAAGTCATAGTGTAGCACTTGTTTTTCTCGTCCATATCCTACACACACACACACACACACACACACACACACACACACACACACACACACACACCCCTTCTCTTTTTCTCACCTCTGTGCTTTTTCTGTGGTTCTGTTTTTCCAGTATGGGATATCCTCACTAACACCACTCTCTCTCCCCCTAGAATCAGTATGCTATATTGAAAAATATCTTTGCCAACTAGATCTGGATCTGAAACCTATTTATGTTACTAGTTACTTAAACTCTTTGAGCTTTAGTTTCCTCACTGATATTAGAATCAAATAAAAACGATGTATACACAATGCTTTGCACAATGTATAGCACATAAAAACAATTGATAAATCAACTGAAAACCTACATTCCCTTTTGACTCAACTCAAATGTTCTCTCTATAAACCATCCCTGATGATAAATTAATCACTATAATTAATCTTTCCTCTAAACCAGACTGTGCATACAAATACCACAGGCATCCTTAACATACACAATGTTGTACCAAGACTTTTTGACTAGATGTCTTCATCCCTCACAAAATGAAGTATCCTTGAAAAAAGGCACACTCTCTTTGCACATAGCAGGTGATAACTGTTTTGGAACTTTAGAAGCCTTCTCTTCTCTAACCTGCCATCTTTAAAAATAGAATATCAACTATTACAACGATAGTTCATATTTTCTTTCTCATGACTTTTCTGATTTTTCTTTCCCACAGTCCTTTTCAGATGATGATATTTCTTCCTATATCATGGAAACTCAGAAGACAATTTCTACAAGGTTCTAACATAGCATTTTCTGACTTACCTGCAATTGTACCCATATACTATTGTCTTCTTTTCTGTTACGATAGATCAAATATCTGTACTTCTTTCAAAGGCCAACTCCTCTTGGTGAATAGGTACCTATATCCTCTTGCCTACTCCAGGACATTGTCCACTCCCACCTAAAAAAATTGTTTTTCTTCTCCTTTCAGTTATTCAGCATAAAAATAAGCTAAAACACCAGTGACCTGGGGAGTGAACTCAGGACCTTACACTTACAAAGCAAGCAGCAGAACCACTGAACTAAATCCCTGGCTGTTTTGTTTTGTTTTGTTTTGGTATTAGGGATTGAACCCTAGTCCTTGCGCTTTCGAGTCAGACAGCCACACCACTGAGCTAAATACCCAGCCCACATCAGTGACTTTTAAAATGTTCTTTGATTCTCAAATTAACTATAGTCCCTCTTTCTCTGTTCCCCTTTGTAACAAAATTCCTTGTAATATTTACTGGCTCCTCTTTCTTTCCTGTCATACTCTTTTATCACTCTACCCAGAGTTTCCCACAATTTAATTAAAAGAACGCTTGTCAGTGTCACCTATCATTTCCATGTTTACAAATCCATTCAGCTGTGATAGTTACATGTCCAACCCAGCTTAGCAGACCAAGGGACTGTCTGCATCACCCATCCCAACCTCAGGCAGTAAAGCTAAAAGCAGGCCAGTGTTCACAGATGGGGCTACAGAGCTGCCCTTGGAACAGACCTGATCTCATTGTGATAGAATCACGTTTTTACTTTCAGTGTGCCTCTAATGCATCCCTAAAGGGATCAAAATGTTGAGATATAGAAATGTCAAAGATAACCAGTAAAACTTAACAACTAAACCTTCCCCAAAACATCACATAACAACTTCTCAAAGATGAAAGATAAAGAGAAGATTCTCAAGGAAGCAAAAAAAAAAGAAATAAAAAATGCACAGTGATATCCAACTTCTTCAAACAGGCAGACTTCTCAGCCTAAAGGGCTCAAAATATTCAAATATAGAAGTTTCCAGCAAAACTTAATATAACTAAATCTTCCCCAAGACATTGCATAACAAAATTCTCAAAGATGAAAGATAAAGAGAAGATTCTCAAGGAAGCAAGAAAAAAGAAATAAAAATGCATAGAGATGTCGCAGTTCTTCAGACAGCAGACTTCTCAGCACAATCTTCACAGGCAAGTAGAGAGTGGCCTGAGATTTTGTAAAGTAGAAAAGGGGAAAAATTGTTAACTGAGAATACTGTACCCAGCACAGCTATCTTTCAGAAATTAAGGTAGTATAAAGACACTTCCAAACAAAAGCCAACAGGATATATCTCCACCGGGAAGTTTTTCAAACTGATAGGATGAGATGTTAATGAATAAGAAAAAAACATAGGAAGCATAAAAGTCACTAGCAAGAATAGTAATTTTACAAACAAATTCAGAATGCTGTAATATTTTTAAGTGTGGTGTGTAAATCAATCGTATTTTTAGTTCAAAGAGTAAAAAAACTATTAATAAAAACTACAATAATGTATTATGACATCAGCAATATAGAAAGACTGAAAATGGGATATCACAAAGTCAAAATGTGAAAGGAAATGGAATGCAAATGAAGAGTTTTCATATTAATATATATCCTCTTGTTATTTTGCTTGTTAGTTTTTCTTATCTTTACAATCATGCTAACATGCTGTTTCAAAATAATTTGCTATAATCAAAAGATTTTATGGAAGTATAACTGTTGCCACAGAGAAAAAATATGTAACAGACACCAAAAATGATTAAGCAAAGAATCAGAATATAATAGTAAATCAATTCACTTAATCACAAAGAAATATTGTAAGAGGAGAAAGAAAGAAAATAATGTTAGAAAATGAGTTACATAAGGGCTGTAGTAAGTCCTTATCTATTAATAATTATCTTGAATGAAAATAACTAATTTATTCAATTAAAAGACACATAATGATTGAATTAAAATAAAAGACCCAACTATAAATTACAAGAAGCTCACTTCAAATCTAAGGAAACACACTTACTGAACGTGAAGAGATGGAATAGGTATTCCATATAAATGAAATCCAAAAGGAATCATCCAACACTTACATCAGGAAAAGCAGAATTCAGATTAAAAGCAGTAAAGAGAAGAAAAGTTAATATAAAATGATCAAGGGATCTATTAATCTAAGGAAAATAACAATTATAAATATATATCCACCCATTACTGGATTCTCAAATATACTAAGCAAATCTTAATAGATCTAAATGGAGAAAGAGACTTACCTTACTAGTAGGGTACTTTAATACCTCACTTTCAGTAATGGACAAGTCATCCAGACAGAAAATCAACAAAGAAACATCAGAGTTTAATTGAACCCTAGATCAAATTAACCCAACAAACCTCTACGGAACACTTTTTTCCAATAGCTGCAAATTACACATTTTTATCATCAGCACATGAAATATCTTCCAGGACAGATCATATGAGAGCCCACAAAATAAATTTCACAGATTTTTAAAACTTGGAATCATCATCAATAAAAAGAAAAGCTTTGGAAATTATAAAAGTATATGGAAATTAGACAACTTGCTTTTGAACAACCAATGTAATCAAGGGAGAGAATAGGAAGAAAAATTAAAATTTCTTAAATTCAAACAAAAACACAATGTACCAAAATGTGTGAGATACAGCAAAAGCAGTTCTAAGAGGGAAGTTTATAGCAATCCATGCCTGCATTAAAAAAAGTACAAAGATCCCAAATAAGCAACCCATCACTACATGTCAAGGAACTAGACAAGCAACAACAAACCAAATCCAAAATTACTAGAATGAACAAAATAATAAGGAACACAGCAAAAATAAATGAAATGATGTTTTAAAAATACAAAAGATCAATTAATCAAAGAGCTGTTCTTCAAAAATTTAAACAAAATATACAAACCCTTATATGAACTGAAGAAAAAGATAAAATTTTAATAAAAATCAGATATGAAAAGGGAGATATTTCAACTAATGCCACAGAAATACAAAATACCATTAGAGATTATTATGACATGACAACAAATTTGATGATCTGAAAAATATTAATAAATCCCTAAATACATATACCTTACCAAGATTGAATCATGAAAAGAAAACCTGAACAGACCAATAACAAGAAACAAGACTGAACAGTAACAAAAAGCCTCCTGGGCCAGGGATTTAGCTCAGTGGCACTGTGCCTGCCTTAAAAGCCCAAGGTCCTGAGTTTGATCCCCAGTACCAAAAAAAAGAAAAAAAAAAAGCCTCTCATCAAAGAAAGGCCCAGCATCACATGGCGTCACCATTAAAACTCGTCATTCAATTATTTAAAGAACTAATACTAATTCTACTTAAATTAGTCCACAAACTACAAGAGGAAAGAATTCTTTGAATTCTATGAAGCTAGCATTAGATAAGAATATAATAAAAAGAAAACTACTGGCCAATATCCTTAATGAATACAGACACAAAATTTTCTACAAAATACTAGCAAACTAAATCCAACAGCATATTAAAAAGATTATTTATCATATTCATCATGATCAACTAGGATTCATCCTAATGATACAAGGATGGTCCAATATATCCAAATCAATAAATGTGAATACCACATCAACAGAATGAACAAGTCCTACGATCATCTCAAAAGCTACAGAAAAGCCATGTGATAAAATTCAACATTCCTTAATGATAAAAATGCTGAACAAATACAGAAGGAACATGTCTCAATCTAATAAAAGCCATTGATAATAAGCCAATAGCTAA